ACACACACACACACACACACACACACACACCGTAGAGAACTGAGAACATAGCCAGGCCTAGTGGTACAAGCCGATCATTCTAGCCACTTAGAAGGTTGAAGCAGGAAGTTGGCAAGTTCAAGCCCTGCCTAGGCTATAGAGGGAGTTCAAGTCTAGCCTGGGCAACTTAATGAGACCCTATCTCAAAATAAAAAGTAAAAAGAGGGCTAGAGATGTGGCTTGGTGGTAGGTCGAGCATTTGCCAAGCATGCCTGAGACCTTAGGTTCAATCCCCAGTCTGTGGGGCGAAGGTAGAAGAGAAGGCCGAGAACATGGATCTGAGGGCCGGCTTTGCCTCCACAGGAGGCACTGGCATGATTAGGGAGGCCATCCTGAGTGTCACCTGTTTGCCTGTCCCATGAGTCTTCCGTATGATTGCTCTGAACTGGACTAGAAGCCCATTTCACAGAGGGGGAAACTGAGGCACAAAGCAGTGAAATCACTTGGCCTGGGTCACACGGTGAGGCAAGGAGGAGCTGGGGTCCAGCCTGTTCCCTATAGTCCTGTTCCTCACACCCAGGAGAAGCTGGCCTAGGCAGAGGCAGGTGGTCAGCCCAGCAGGCCGAAGGCTGGCACTCCAGCTGGGCCCCTGCCCATTGTGTGATTCTGCCTGGCCCCAACTCCCCCACAGATATGCAGGTAACACGTTACAAAGGCATAATCTCCCTCTATCTGATAATTTAGGGCCGCCAGCAAGTCGCCAGCGGGAGACGGAAAAGTCAGCCTTTCTCTGCGAGGAGTCGTCTTTTTGCGGATTAAGAGAGCTTGTCTTTAGATAAATGGCTTCATATCCATGGTAGCACACAGAGCTCAGGGTGCCATAAATCTTCCTTAGCGGCCCAATCGAATTACGATTATTTAGAGAAGAGGCTGCGGCACACGGGCGCCCCACCTGGGCAAAGCCCAACACTGTGAGTCCTGTCTGTGGTTCCATCTTCCTGACCAAGTCTGACAGGTGGGGCCTGCAACTTAGGCCCCATTTCTCCCAACCCCCTTGCACAGAGAAATATTCAGGGTAGCAACCCAGATCAAACAGCCAGAGGTGGCCAAGGGGACGCTCAGGCTTGCCACCTCCCATGGTGCCATTTCTAGCATGTTACCTTCTCACAGGGACACCCCAGCCTGCCCCCTTGGCTCTCCCCTTTCTCACTGCCAGGGAAGCCTCCTATGAGCACCAAGCTCTGTAGCCTCAGGGAGGCCATGTCTCAGGGGACACACTAGAGACATGTATGACAAGCAGGAGACTCATTTGATCATGAGGAGTACTGAGATGTTAAGACACAGTGAGTGGCAAGTGCTAGGGATGGGCCTCAGCTTTTCTGTCTAGGAAAGGTCTTTCCAGGCAGTGGGAACAGCAGGTACAAGGGCTTCAATGCTAGAAAATCTGGTTGATTCAAGGAAGGATGCTGGAAAGGAAGTGGGCAGCAGCCATTGAACAAACAAGCTTCCAGATACCCTTGACTCTGGATGCATTGCTCCCGCTCCTGCTGACTCTAAATGTGAACAATCTTGCACCCAGGATGGGACGGGGGGAGGTCTTTACCACTTGGCTAGGTGCACATTCAAGCCGAATGGTCTGGGTTTGAATTGCAGCCCTGCCTCTCTGACAGCTGTGTGATTCTGGATTCAGCCTCTCTGTTTTCAGCACAGGGTTGGTCTGACAGTACCGTAAGCTATGACAGAGACCTACACAGATACCAACCATCATTATCAGCATCAATGGAAGCTGAGGCTTGGATCAGTGCCAGCTGCTGCTGAGGTCACACAGCCCATGTGGTACATGTGGCTCTGACTCTGAGTCCCAGACTCTGTCCTCCATGCTCGCCCTGTAGAGCTGGCGGAGAAGGGGGGAGGGGTCTGCCACTGCTGACATCTGCCTGCTTTGCCCCTGGTCCAAGGAGACAGAGAGGCCCTGTCCTCCGGGTCCCAGACATTTGTGAGTTGGCTGGGTCTCTCCTACTGCCCTACAAAGCATCCCATGTTCCTGTCCCTTCATGCTGAACCAGCCAACAGCTGGGAGGCAGCGTCAGGCTCCTCTCACGCTCAGTTCCCAGTGGCAAGTTCAAGGGGCAGTTGAGGGCACAGGGCAGTCACACGGCTTCCTGTCTGGCTGGTCTCAGCTCTCCCAGACTGCTTTCTTGTCTGTAGGCCTCAGTTTCTCTATTAGAAAAGTGAGGAGCTTGGCTACATGGATTTAGGAAGGATGAGGCTTTGAAATCAAATCCTGCTTAATAACTGCTTAATCCTGTGTGAACAGGCCACTTATGTCTGGGTCTCCATTTCTCTGTAAAGTGGGTTCAATGTCAGTGGTTCTGCCTTATACAGATGTGAGGATGCAATCAGGTGTGAGGCACTCATGGGATCTGCACTGAGGTGGACTTCCCTCCTGGTAACAACCACTTCCTCCTCATCCTCACCCTGCCTAACTGGATAAGGGAGCCTGCTACAGTTTCTGCCTCTCTTTGGAGAAAGACCCGGGCATGTCCCAGGGCAGCCACAACTGCCCCCATGCCTGCCAGCTTCCTCTCCTTGCTGGCCACTGTGGGAATGCATCTCACAGAACCCAGTGCTGTGTCCAGGTTGTCCGTCCCCTGTCCCACCCCAGCGTGAGAACATGGGTCTGTGCAGGTGGCTACGGGGCTCACCTTCTTGCTGAACTGGTGCAGGTGCAGCAGCGTCTCCAGGTCAGTGCGCTGCCGCTCAGCTGCCATGTAGAAGTGGGTCAGCCTGGCCTGGAAGGCTCGCTGGGTGGAGGTGAAGGCTGCCAGCTCAGGGAGTCCTGCCCCTCCAGCCTCGCCTGCCCCTCCAGCTGCAACTTCCAGCTGGGCTGCCTGCTTGGACAGCTCCAGGCCTCTGCGGTACTGGGCCTGTGAGGCAGAGGAGGCAGCACGCTCAGCTCCTGCCTGGGGCATCTCCACAACAGTCAGGTCTCCCACTGACCTATGAGGTTTCCTGAGCCTCAGTTTCCCCATCTATAAAGCGCAACCCATGGTCAAGACTTAGCACATAGGGGTTGTTGATATATTCAACAGTTCAAGCCTTTGCCTTGGCAGTTCACAACCTTCTGGAAAGTCCTATGACCCTAAAGTCAGGGTCAGAGGCATCTCTCTTGCTGCTGTCCCTGTTTGTCCCCACCCCCATTCTCTGCTGCCTAGGAGTTCCCTGAGGGCTGTGACAGGCCAGCACGTACTGTGTCTACCACACATTTGACATTGCCGCCCTTCTCACCAAGCTCACCCAGCAGGCCTGGGCTGGGGCCCTGGAACATGCATTAAGAAACCCTCAGGGGTTCTGAGTTCTTTGCACCTGGTCTGGGAGGGCTTCCTGGAGGAGGCAGCATCTAAGGCAATCCCTCTGTGATTCAAGCTGTTTCCTTGCTACCCTTGGAAGCTCCCTTGCATTTTCCCACCCCGCCTCCTGGAACACACCGAAGCCCGCAGGAAGAAGTCCTCGAACTCTGAGTGGGCTCGCTCTACTGTCTCTGTGCGCACATCCACGGGGGCGAGTGCCTGCAGACACTGGCTTCCTTCCCGTTCCATCCAGTCACTGACCTGCACAGAGGATACAGGCTTGGGTGTGATATGCTGCTAAGGCCGTGCCCTGGGCCAACTTACCAGTATACTCTGTGTGCCTGTGTGCGTGTGCGTGTGTCTGTGTGTCTCTGTGCCTGTGTGTGTATGTGTCTGTGTGCACATGTGTGTATGCAAATACACTTGTGTGGGAGAGGCCAGAGTCCACTTCAGGTGTTGTTCCTCAGGAGCTGTTCACCTTGGTTTTTGTTGTTGTTTTGTTTGAGACAGGGTCTCCCTGTAGCCTCAGCTGACCTGGAACTCCCTATGTA